GCAAATCCGGCTGCGCTGGAGGGAGCTGAGCCCAAGCTCGGGGGCTGCAGCTCAGGGGCAGAAGGGCTGGCAGAGGTCACGGCTGGTGGCCCCGGCAGCATCGCCTCAGGCCCACGTCCCTGCCTCAACTTGACCCAAATGCATCAAGCCAGGCGCAGGGATCAGCAGTGGGGAGAGGAGGGAGGTGCGCCCACCCTGGATCTACCCCCTTCCCTCTGCCACCGCTGGACGCTGGCTCAGCGCCGGGGCCGAGGTCCTCCTGGCTGAAGCAGGCAGTAGGATCAGCCCACACCTGAGCTTGGCCTGGGAGCCCCTCGCCGGCCACACCGCGGTAGCAGAACTGGGGAGAGCGAGGCACTGGGGCAGCAGCTGCAGGCACAGAAGCAGCCGTTGCCACAGCGGCGGCCGATCGCGCTGCCCCCGGGGGGGGCACCACACCTCTGCCCCAGGCACGAAGCGATGCTGCTCTCTCTCCTCGCAGGGGTCACTAACGCAGGGAGGACGACGCTGCTGCTGACAGAAGAGGCAGGAGAAAGGCACCAGCTGGCAGCGCCTAAGTTCCTACCCTGCTAAGCTGCCACCATTACAAAATAGGTCAGACAGAGCCTGCCCTGCTCCAGCTTTCAGAGTGGTGCCTGTTCCACTGTGCTAGGCCTTTACGCACCTGGATGCAGTTTTCTTAACAAATCAAATCCTCTTACTCCTGGGTCTGTGATGTCTTGGTGCATGCTGCCCCCTGGGCTTGGAGCCGGCTTCTTTTCCACGTGCCTTCGATGCTCTCACTCTTCGTGATGATGCATTAGGCCTGTTCTGCATGCTGCTCCCTGCCACTCTTGCACCCCCTCCTTATCTTTTGCAATATGCTCTTTTCTGTTAAGAACTAGACGGGAGACCTGACCCCGAACTCCAGCCATTCTGGAGCTCCTACCACCAGCACACCTCATATGGCTCCAGATTTTGGCCCTTTGGAATGAAACATTGCTTCTCTAACTGCATCCCTTCCCAGGTGTTAGGGGGGGAATGAAAAAAAAACAAACAAACACCCAAACTGAAAGCATTGCAAATAGGTATCTTCCACTCAGTTTACTTGGTTTCTCTCCCTTCAGCCGATACAAGTAGTTCATTTCACATGCGCTTGCAGTCATTGCCACTCTCAGCCTCAGACCTTAGCAAGTTCATTTGGCATTCATTCATTTTTCTCATGGTCTATGATTTCAATGCTTGTAAATATAAAAAGCTAATTCTCATGACATGCTAACCCCCTCTTAAGGGACAGAAAATTTGAGACTAACGTGATAAACTACTTCACAGTTAGGGCAGCTAGGAGCTGGAACCAACTTCCAAGGGAAGTGGTGCTGGCTCCTACCCTGGGGATCTTTAAGAGGCGGCTTGATGCCTACCTGGCTGGACTCATTTGAGTCC